AAAAGGACACCCTAACCCTGTTAAATCATAATAAATGTAATAAGGAGGTTTTTCCTTGAGGGGTGTTGTGTAAGCAAATGTATTCTTGTGGATGAGGGTCCTGGAGTGGGTTTGCGGGGGGGGGGGGTTCAGACATCAGCAATGGCCGGGGTGAGCGAGGTTGCCAACAATGGGCACCCTTTGGATTAAGACGACAACGTGTGGAGTTGCATGGTGTGAACAACCAGGGTCTCGGATCCGTGTTTGAAACCTGGTGGGGATCTTTGGGGTGAATGAGGTTGTAATAGGGATGTGCAAGGATAGCATGGGGGGGATTGTAGGGGGAAAATGCATTGCTTCCTAGGGATCTGGGTGAGAGAACTGGAGATGATGGCATGAAAGGGGGCTCCAGGTGTAAATGTGGATGGAGAATGACTCTCCGGGATGGGAAGACTGATGTGATGGAGAGCCGAGGTCATCGTGGCAGGATCCGGTTTGAGCAATGGTTCTAGCAACATGGAGGATTTCCTGCCCTGGTCATTCTTTAAAATGACAAGGGGAGATTCATGCTCTGGATTCCGGAGACATGGAGGTAGCAACACAGAGGAAATGAAACTGGGACTGAAAAGACCCCCTATGGATACATTGAGGATGACATGACCAGATGGGGTTGGCAGTTCTTCCTATATAGAGCCGAGAAGGGGGCTGGAGTCACTAGTCCCTGCTGTTGAACTCCTGAGCCACATGGTGGTTGGTAGCCCCAGGAAGGGTTAGGGTATCTTTATAGCTTAGGTGAGCAACCTGACCTCTGTTCACTTGTGGATGAGCTGCCAGTGGGTACATACTAATGAAGAGTGGGGTTTAGAGCTGAACCCCCCGGACTGCAAGGAGAACAAACCTATCCCTTCTGAAGGAAATCAACCCCGAGTGCTCACTGGAAGGACAGATCCTGAAGCTGAGGCTCCAATACTTTGGCCATCTCATGAGAAGAGAAGGATGAGATGGTTAGACAGGGTCACCAAAGCAACCAACATGAATTAGATGCAACTCCGGGAGGCAGTGGAAGACAGGAGGGCCTGGCATGCTCTGGTCCATAGGGTCATGAAGACTTAACGACTAAACAACATACATCTTCGCTGGAATAGGAGGAGAGGCAGGAGTACTGGTCACAGACTTTGACTTAATGACTAAACAACAACAACAACCATCACCTTCTCCGCCTCTTCCTTTCAAGTGCCCATATGTCTTCACTGGAATAGGAGGAGAGGCAGGAGAACTGGTCACAGACTTTAAAGCAAAGTCAGGTATTCAAGTCAATTACCCTTGGCGGTAAAGATCACTGTAATTGACTTGGGTAACTGACACACTTGGCATTTTCTGGATCTCATTTCATTCTTTCCTAACCCTATAGCTAGATCCAGTGTGCATATAAGCCTGTGGCTGGAATATAGTGCTCTGGGCACCTGAAGAAGTAAACCATGCACATGAAAGCTCATGCCAGTTAAAAACCTGTTAGTTTTAAAGATACCACAGACTTGTTTTTGCTGCTGCAGCCCAACATGGCTATCTCGCTGGAATGGAAGTTTGCTGCACATGAAAGCTCATGCCAGTTAAAAACCACAGACTTGTTTTTGCAGCAGCAGCCCAACATGGCTATCTCACTGGAATGGAAGTTGTTAAACAATGAATCCACTTTACGATGAAGTTTTTGTGATCACTTTTGCGATTGCAAAACAATGTTTAGATAGGGAAATTTCGCTTGACGATGATCGGTTCCCTGCTTCGGGAACCAATTTTTCACTAGACGACGATTTTTAATCAGCTGATCAGCGGATCTAAAATGGCCACCCGATGTGCAAAATGGCTCCCCAATGTGTTTTAGGACGGATTCCTCGCTTTACAGGCACTGAAAATGGCTGCCCCTATGGAGGATCTTCGCTGGACACTGAGGTATTTAACCCATTGGAACGCATTGAACCGGTTTCAATGCATTTCAATGGGCTTTTTTGTTTCGCTTGACGAGGATTTCGCTTAACAGCGATTTCAACGGAACAAATTATCCTCGTCAAGCAAGGCACCACTGTAAGAGCAAATATCTGGAGAAAATCGACAACCTCTTCTGCAATGGCCGATGCCTATTTTTCTCCTCTTCAACGGAACAAATTATCCTCATCAAGCGAGGCACCACTGTATGTGACTTGATGCAGGAATATTAATAAGAGCAATTATCTGGAGAAAATCAACAACCTCTTCTGCAGTGGCCGATGCCTGTTTTTCTCCTCAGATGTGATTCTAGCTGTTATCTACTCAGGTTAACAGTTCTTCGCCTACTCATTGCACCTGCAAGTCACACACTTTCTCTGTGATCCTCACTGCAAGTGTTAAACAGCTTCCAGTTTCACTGAAGTCCTTATAGCATAAGACAGGCTTGGCTGACAGGACGAAGTCTGTGAAGGCCACAGAAGGAATTGCACTTGTTAAGGGGAAGGCTGAAGGTAGAAGAAGATGGAATGGCCCATGATTGTTGCCTCAAGGATGGGGCGCGGAGGTGAGGGGATTGGATTCGAAAGAGGTGGGACCTAAAATGCGAATGGATAGAGTGGTCATTGCAGTCGAAAGGTCTAGGTGGGGTTTGGGAGGCACTGAGCAGAGATGAGAGAAATCACTTTTCCCAACTGCAGGTCCCAGAATATTCTGGCCATGCTACCAGGGGTATTCTGGGAAATATAGTCCAAAAAAGTAACATTTCCTGACTCAGATGCAGATGTAGGGACAGTGTGATCTGGAGTACAATAAGAGGGCAGATCCTTTTTCCAATTTTCATATAAATATATGTATATGTATATATATCTATGTGTACTATCTATGGTTATTTTTAGACTGGAGCAGCTCATCCGTTGGGCAAAGCACCTTCAGCATTTGACCTCTCCCGGGACCAGCCATGATTCACAGCCTCTTCCTCATAAACTCCTCCGGAGACATCTTCTTGGAGAAACACTGGAAAAGCGTGGTCAGCCGCTCGGTTTGCGACTATTTCTTTGAGGCTCAGGAGCGGGCTTCGGAGGCGGAAAACGTGCCCCCTGTGATCCCCACCCCTCACCACTATCTCCTAAGCGTTTACCGACACAAGATCTTCTTTGTGGCGGTGATCCAGACGGAAGTGCCCCCGCTTTTTGTCATTGAATTTCTTCACCGGGTTGTGGACACTTTTCAGGTAGGCCAAGAGCTGTGGCGGTTTCGGACCCTCCGGTCTCCGCTGTCTGCTGACTATTTCAGAGGGAGAGAATATGAGAGGATTACGTGTCACAGATCCAGAGTGGGCAACCCTGCCAGATCCAGGAGTCAGGTTTCTGCCCCTTGAGATCCTCCAGGGCCCCCACAAACTGTCAGAAAAGCAAAAACATGACATCTGCGATGGTTGAAAGTGCAATGCCAGTTCTAAAATGTGGGCACTTTGTCATACCAGATCACACAGGAAGCCTTGGGCCTTGTTTGAAAAGTGAGTTGCTATTTCTGGAAACGTCCAGGAACTGCAATTCACTCTCCCCACCCCAAAAAAGGGGAAAGTGGCAGAATGCTGGGAGGGTCACGTGTGGTTCTACGGTTTCACTTTGCACAACCCGTTACAAAGTACAGTTGGTTCCTGTTAGAGCTGATGGAAATTGTTTGGACTATCGCTCCCTTAACATTCCGAAAATTGTAATTTTTCCCAAGCTTTGGTTTGTCTGTATCCCAATAAAACCTCTTCATGATCTGTACACCCGTAACAAGGTGCCATATACGGAATCACATGATAGTTCCGTGGAGCCAACTCCCATACAATGTATGTGGTCATTTCTCCCGGATTGCAGGCAAGGATTTTCTTTCCTGAGAGCTGTTAATGGGAGGTCCCGGGAAATGATTTTGTGATTTTTTTTTTCTGCTTGCAAAGCAAGAGCTGTATCCTTGGGCGTTGCGCCCCACCCGTGTCTGCTCAGTTCCATCCTGATGTTATTGATTAGAGCACCCTTCCTATTTTACCTCAAGGGCATTCAGCCAGTTTCTCCACTCTGGCATTGAGCTTTTATCAGTTAGTTAGCATCTACCGCAGCATGCAGAGTTCCTCCCATTTTCCCTGTTCTCCTGCTTGGGAGAAGCAGCCGTTGTGACCCACTGGCAGCGAGATCAATGTGAAGTTACCACAACTCATGATCTGTTTGCACTCCCTGTTATTTTGGTTTGACAGTCTCTTTTCATATTAAACTCTGGGTCATAACAACATGAGGGGAACCACAGCCCGGTCTAACCCAGCACTTTGTTCCCAAATCCTTCTGATGCTCCAGGGAAGCCCATAAGCATTTCCTTGGCGGTCAAGTCATCTTTCACCTTTTTTTCCAAGTTGTTCAGTGTAGTTATGTGTGCTTTTCCTCTTTGACTCAACCTTCTGAACTTAGCTACTGGTCTTAGAAAAAGTGAGACCTTTTTTTGGAGCAGCCCTGAGAATCTCCCACCCAGAATGGCCCCTGTTGGCTGATGGGGATGATGGGGTTTCTCCTCCCCAAAAGTTGCTCTTCTGAACTTCACCCAAGTATCTTCCGTGATTAACTAGGTATTTGAACAACTGACCAAGGTTGGGGGGCACATCCAGGAACACAACCTGCACTTTTCTCAATGAGCAGCAATGTGCCCTCAAGACTTAAGCTGTTTCCCTTACGCATGTGTAAACCAACAGTAGATCTTGAAAAATAAGATCCACCCAAAACATTGTGTTTTAAGTACTGGGATATAATTAGATCAGTTATAATAAGATGCGGCTAAACTGTGAATACTTCCAAAATGTCTCTCTGAAAATAATAATGATCATTTGTATTACAGTGTAAAAGAAATGAGAGCAACCATTTAAATTCCCTCTCCTTAGCAGGTGGCCAGTTTAGTTTCCCTGAGAGATGAATTCCAGAGGCTGGGAGCCACCACCAAGAAGGCCTTCTCTCATGCCCTCATCAGACAAGCCCCCCTCCCAAGGGTGGCAGGCCTGAGCGAAGGGCTGCTCCTCCATTTCTCAAAGCCCAGGCAGGTTTTTATGGCAGAACTTGGTCTTTTAGGTAGCCTGAATCCAAAAATGGTTCGGATTTTATAGGCAAGTAAGTATCAGCGCTTTGCATTGCTCCCAGAAGTGAATCGCTAGCCAGTGGAGCCGTCGTAACAGGAGCAGACATGGGCAACAGGGTTCGATGGCATGCAGCAAGGAGGCGGCCATTTTAGCTAGCTAAGCTTGGCCGCCCGGAAAAGGCAGCCAAATGTTCACTCATTGCATGTATGATTGTATTTGCTCCCCAGAGGCTGCTTATGACTAGGGCAGGGGGCCCTCCCCCTGGAATTTCAGGATGTGGTGCCCCCCACCATCCCAGTCCAGAAGCCACCCCTACTTGGCACGCAGAATGAAAGGCAGCAGAAGTTTCTTGCTGGGGCTGTAAGCCAGCTTTGGCCATCCCGGCGAGGGAGACAATGCCGGCCTCTGATGGGCTTCAAAGGGCTCAGCTAATCATGGGACTGAAAAATCCCTTTATGGTTAAGGGTCGGGCTTCATGTGATGCTAAGTATGTCTTTGAAGGTTCTGGTTGCTATGCTGCCTCTTCCTCTCTCTCTTTTTTTTAACCGAGCTGCAATTGACAGGGCAGATGGATAACCTAGGGCAAGGGGGAGCTCAGTTCCCCTCTGGAAAAAAAACACACCCTCATCCTCTGAATGTGGCAGTCACAGCTTTGGGGAGGATGAGTTTTTGAGCAGGATAACAAGGAAGGAGCGTTACACGCCACTCCTGGATTATGGGATTAATCGGCCTTGTCTTCCTGGAGCTGCTATGAGCCTGCTGTTTATTTTAAGAAAGAACGCCAGTTGTGGGATTCAGAGACATCTCTCGCATCAGCTGCTGTCCAGAGTTATGTTCTCTACAAATGCCTTTTCCTTTGGCCATGGGAATGCAGAAATACTTTCATTATTTAAACCACAAGTATTCTCTTATTGCAACTGTAAGGTTTTGCATGGGAACTTGATCAATATGGCTTCTAGCCCCACATCAGCCACAAAACAGCTCGGATGACCTCAGCTTCAGTCCCCACCACCACCATTTTTGAGCCTGACCTACCTTAGAAGCTTGTCGTGGGAACAAAGTGGGCAGCAGGAGAACCACTAACATCTTTATTTTCTGGGTAGAATAAGAACACGGAGCCTTCTGGCAGCATCAAGGCTAACCGGTTTTATTTGTCATAAACTTCAGCAGAATGCAGCCCGCTTCACCTGATGCCCCAGTGAAGCTGGCTGGTGCCCCCAAAGATTTGGGCATCATAGAACTGGTGCATCGTGAATACACACGAGGAGCCTTCCTTGCACAGAGTGATGGCTTTTGTCCGTCGTTTTGGCTGACAGCTTCATTGGTGTTGAGCAGACTTGTGGACACCAGATGCTTTGTTTCTGAAACAATATTAAGGCTTAATTCCATTGTGACCATCTTCTTGAAGCTTTGGGATCCTTTTAGTGTTCATAGAAAGTTACTGCAGCTAATTGTGACTAATTGACAGGGTGCTTCTTGGCTGTGCAAGCCGATGCATGACTAGGAGCACAACTTGACCAATGCCTTGCTAATTAGCTATAACAGGTTATTAAAACCTCATGTGAATGCCAGCAGGATTCAGGACATTGCTTGAAATATTAGAATTTTTTATGCCATGATTTATAAGCCTTTCCCCACCTCCTCTCCTAACATTGTAACCACATTCCTCCAGCCCAGAAATTTCCAACTCCAGCCCTGCTGACACATAAGAAGCCTTGGAGTTTGTAACCTGATAGTGGAGCTGCATTAGAGTTTTATTATAGAGGTGCTGGGTTTCTCCTTCAGATGCCATTGGGGCTTCCTGATAGTTGTAAAATGAGGAGACGGTCCAGGACTGGCCGCCTGCCACTGCCTTTTGCCATATGTCTATTCTTCCCTCTGAACCAGCTCCTTCACCTGGCTCCATGGCAGAGGTGTGCTGTTTTTTCCAGCTGCCTGGGGAATTATGGGAGTTGTAGTCCAGAAACACAAACTGGCACACAGTGACTCCATAGCAAATTCACTCCTTGTTTTTTGTTCTTCCGTGTTTTCAGGGCGACTGGGGCAACCTCCCCTTCCTCCGTCTGCTTCAGCTCCTTTTGCAGGGGTCTAGTTAATCTTATTTCCCTCCCCGCAGGATTATTTTGGGGTCTGTTCAGAAGTTGTCATCAAGGACAATGTGGTGGTTGTCTACGAGGTACTCGAGGAAATGCTGGACAATGGCTTCCCGCTGGCCACTGAATCTAACATTCTGAAGGAGCTGATCAAGCCACCTACCATCCTCCGGACAGTCGTCAATACCATCACAGGTAGGCATGTAGAAACCGGTTTCACACTGGGGTCTGGCTCGTCGTCCGTCTAACCCGGTTTCACTGGCTCTCTCCGGCAGCAGCTCTCCAGGCTTCCAGCCATGATTTCTTCCGTAGCCTACGTGAAGTTCTCTGGTGGGCCCTGGATGTTTCCCAATTGGAGAGCCAGTCGGCCGACCCTACTTAGCTTCTATATTCAGAGAAGATCACAGATGTTCAGAGTAGTCTTGGTGTCAGAAGGTCAGAAAAGGTGTGGTGTGAGACGGAGAGAGAAGGACAGACAGACAGAATATTCAGAGAAGATCACAGATGTTCAGAGTCATCTTGGTATCAGGAGGTCAGAAAAGGTGTCTGTGAGACGGAGAGAGAAAGACAGACAGGCAGAAGAGTTTTGCAATGACCTTTGTCATTTTTCAGATCTGGGATTCATCCTGGACAAACGTGTGTTCGAGGCCTGACTTCTTCAGTTCTTGCCATATATTTTTATGATGATAAAAATGAGAACTTGGAAAACTTACATTTTTATCGCAACACCCAGGATTTATCAACCAGCACATGAGAACTTGGAAAACTTACATTTTTATCACAACACCCAGGACTTATCAACCAGCACATCCCCCCCCCCAAAAAAAACCCAAGTCCATTCTGTAAGTGACACACACACACACACACACACAAAAAAGTCCATTCTGTAAGCGGGGTGATGATGCCAGTTTGGCTCACCTTCAGCCTTACACACACTTAATTTGGGAGGGTATCCCACTGAACTAAAGGGTGTTTACTCCTGAGCAAACCTACATAGGATGTTTTGTGACAGCTTAACCTGTGAAGAGATCAGGACACCTCAAAGGCTTCCATGTGTTCTCGTGTTCTTTTGGGTGAGTGACTAGAGATCTTACATTAGGGGTTCCCAAATTGTGCACCCCAGCATCTTGGGGTGCTGCAGAATCCTCTCATCCCTCATAGGCCTTTGTTGGTGGTGCATTTTGTGGCCACTGGCTGTGGCTCTCCTCACCCAACGTGTCGTATTGAGGAGCAGTGGCCTGTGACCGCCAAGCCGAGGGAGCCATAAGTCCAAAAAAAGTTGCGGAACCACTGTCTTAAGCTAATGTGGTTAATCTTCCGGCTGTGTGAGAGAAGGCGATTTGTTCATTCCTATATGCATACAACTTCCACCCAGGGAACTGAGAGCAAGACATGAAAGGCCAAATGCTTTCCTGGTGTGAAGCTCTTCCGTGCAGATCCAGAGGGCTCTCGCATGGCCTGGCGGTGGCGCGGGTGGTGAAAGGCCAAATGCTTTCCTGGTGTGAAGCTCTTCCGTTCCGTGCAGATCCAGAGGGCTCTTGCACGGCCTGGCGGCGGTGTGGGTGCCTTGCTTTGCGAAACCGGTCTGGTTGGCATTGTGCTCCCGGCCCTCTTCCTCGTTTCAGGAAGCACTAATGTGGGTGAACAGCTCCCTACAGGGCAGCTCTCGGTGGTTCCCTGGCGCCGGAATGCTTTCCTGGTGTGAAGCTCTTCCGTTCCGTGCAGATCCAGAGGGCTCTTGCACGGCCTGGCGGCGGTGTGGGTGCCTTGCTTTGCGAAACCGGTCTGGTTGGCATTGTGCTCCCGGCCCTCTTCCTCGTTTCAGGAAGCACTAATGTGGGTGAACAGCTCCCTACAGGGCAGCTCTCGGTGGTTCCCTGGCGCCGGACAGGCGTGAAGTACACCAACAACGAGGCCTATTTTGATGTGATCGAGGAAATAGACGCCATCATCGAGAAATCAGGTACGGGATGGGGGGGTTGAGAGCTGTATTTCGGTGTCATCTCCTCTAGGTGGCAATACGCTGGGATAATTGAGAGGAGTTGTAGTCCATATTACCGTATTTTTCGCTCCATAAGACGCACCTTTCCATAAGACGCACCAATTTTTTAGGAAAAGAAAACAGGAAAATATAATCTGTTTTCTTCGCTCCATAAGACGCACAGACTTTCCACACACACCCCCGTTTTGTGGGGGAAAAGCACCCCCCTGTTTTGTGGGGGAAAAGTGTGTATTATGGTGCGAAAAATATGGTAATTCACACACACCACAAAGTTTACTAGCAGTTCTTTGTCCTATTTAAGAGCCCCTCTCTTTTTTTCTTTTGCTCACCTCATCCCATTTAGTTAGTTCCTGTGTTTATCTATTACCTTGGAAATGAAACAAGCAAAGCAGCTTATCAATTTTAAAGCAGTGAGCAACAACAAATAATAGAATGCATGTTGTTATTTTTTTGTGATCCCACCTGGGATTTATTTGCTGTGTCGCCAGGTTCTACAATCACGGCCGAAATCCAAGGAGTGATTGATGCGTGTGTGAAACTGACGGGGATGCCGGATCTTACTCTCTCCTTTATGGTAAAGTTAGAGAGGAAGAAAATCTCTTGCTTGCTTGTGTGTTGTTGTTTATTAAAGAAAATGTCTCTGCAACCCTTTCATATAAAAAGTTTCAGAGTAATGTGGAAGAATTAGGCATTTTCAAAGAGAAGGTTCTGTCCGTCTGTCTCGACAGGAAAAATAAGTTTTGGGGCATTTTAGCAAGAAAATGTATTTTTGCACTTTTTTGTTATATGCTAAAAGGATGCATCACAATTAATATGTTTTTAAAAAATACATGCAACATAAAGACAATGCAGGAAAATTCAGCAGGTATATACAGCATCGTTTACCCCCTAGGCAAATTTGTATGAGTCACCTGGTGCTATCCTGGCGTTAACAATTTCCTTACATCCCCTCCCCCCCCGGCCACATTTAGGCTGGAAGTGTGTGCTTTTTTCCAAAACCGGAACAGTCTTCATCCCCATGGTGAGCTGCCCTGTGGGTCCAGGAGAGCCCCGTGGAGCCCACTTTGCCAACTTGCAAGATGTGGGGTGCCCCCACCAAGGAGGATTTTTTTCCCTGTTTGCTGCTGGACTAGCCTCAGATTGGGGGAGACCTTGAGCAGCACCTCGGATGCCCAGCAATCCTGATCTGGCAAAAGGTGGCCCTTCCTCTCTTGATAAATGTTGAGATGCTGCAGTAAAGTCTTAAACATTTAAACAGACCCTTCCCTTCTTCCAGGGGTGCCCTGGGACAGTGCAGGTGGCCCAAGGCCACCCAGGCTGGTTCTTCTCCCAGGAGGCCCAGCAGTGGGGAATCGAATTCCCAGCCTCTGGCTCCGCAGCCAGATGCCTGAACCAATGCAGAAGACTGCAGGGCAGCAGAACAAACGTTCCACCGGGAGGGGGCAGAAGAGGTGGCGTGGGCCAAGAAATCTCCTCCACCTCCGTCCCTTGCTTGTTTCAGAACCCCAGGTTGCTGGATGACGTCAGCTTCCACCCCTGCGTCCGCTTCAAGCGCTGGGAGTCGGCTCTGGCTCCGCAGCCAGATGCCTGAACCAATGCAGAAGACTGCAGGGCAGCAGAACAAACGTTCCACCGGGAGGGGGCAGAAGAGGTGGCGTGGGCCAAGAAATCTCCTCCACCTCCGTCCCTTGCTTGTTTCAGAACCCCAGGTTGCTGGATGACGTCAGCTTCCACCCCTGCGTCCGCTTCAAGCGCTGGGAGTCGGAGCGGATTCTCTCCTTCATTCCTCCCGATGGGAACTTCCGCTTGCTCTCGTATCACGTCAGTGCTCAGAAGTAAGGCTTGGGATCGGGAGCTGTGGCTGAATCTGTTGGTGTCCTGGATCTTTTCCTGTATGCCCCCCCCCAAGATCTTCTGTGGGGAGGGGGGCTCCAAAGGGGTCTACTGCTCCATACATAAGAGTCCCGGTTCCTTTTGCAACTCAAGGAACCAACAATGAACTGTTCCAGCTATACGAACCCTTAAATAATCTGCCCCGTCATTTCTCCCTTGGGTATTTCTTCAGCCTGAGGAAGGGGAGGAGATACTTTGTCGGCAAGGTGATGTCTCTGCTTTTTCAGATGCTGTCAAGGTTTGTCATCGCTTTCCTTCCAAGAAGCAGGCGTCTTTTAATTTCGTGGCTGCTGTCACCATCTGCAGTGATCATGGAGCCCATGACCTCCATATCTTCCCCTTCTGTTTGCCAGGAGGTGATGGGGCCAGTGGCCATGATCTTAGTTTTTTTGATGTTGAGTTTCAGGCCGTTTTTTGCACTCTTGTCTTTCACCCTCATTACAAGGTTCTTTAATTCCTCCTCACTTTCTGCCACCAGAGTTGTATCATCTGCATATCGGAGGTTGTTGATAGTTCTTCTGGCAATCTTAATTCCGGCTTGGGATTCCTCCAGTCCACCCTTTCGCATGATGTATTCTGCATATAAGTTGAATAAGCAGGGGGACAATATACAGCCTTGTCGTACTCTTTTCCCAGTTTTGAACCAATCAGTTGTTCCATATCCAGTTCTAACTGTTGCTTCCTGTCCCGCATATAGATTTCTCAGGAGGCATATAAGGTGGTCAGGCACTCCCATTTCTTTTAGGACTTGCCATAGTTTGCTGTGGTCCACGCAGTCAAAGGCTTTTGCATAGTCAATGAAGCAGAAGTAGATGTTTTTCTGGAACTCTCTGGCTTTCTCCATAATCCAGCGCATGTTGGCAATTTGGTCTCGAGTTCCTCTGCCCCTGGTTTTTGGTTTCTGTTTTTGTTTCTGGTTTCTATTTTTTCCGTGGGTCACTGTGTTTAGCGCTGGCACGCAAAGCAGCGACAGGGGAGTTGGGGTACAGAGATGTCTCCTCTGTTCCAGCTTGGTGGCCATCCCTGTCTACGTGAAACACAACATCAGTTTCCGGGACAGCTCGCTGGGCCGTTTTGAGATCACCATTGGGCCCAAACAGACCATGGGGAAGACTGTGGAGGGGGTGATGGTTACCAGCCAGATGCCGAAGGGTGTCCTGAACATGACCCTCACGCCGTCTCAGGGGACGCACACCTTTGACCCTGTCACCAAGGTAAGAGGGGAGCGAGGAAAAGGACTAGAGAGGAAGAACCCAGACTCCGTTCTTGGTTTATTTCTCTTTTTGAGGCAGGAAGGACCATATTTTAGAGAAGCCACAATATGAGATTGTGCACAACGCTGGTGTGTTTTGTTATGCACAACACACCAGAGGCCCCACCATTCCTGAGCTTGTGACATCTAAATTTAAACCGTAACTACCAGCCTCTGAGCCCCTTTCCCTCTCGGTCTTCACAGTGCAGTCATTACAGCCTACTCTGAGCAGGCCAAAGCGGTCCGGTTAGCTTTCCTTTGTGGGCTTTGGACCCCTGCCTCCAGGTTGGCAGCCTTTTAGTGCATGGGCTTTGTGGGCTTAATTACCTGCACAGCTCCAATGCTCATGTTGCTCTCCCCCCTCTTTTCTTCCCCCAACCCCATCCTTTCCTGCAAAGCTGCTGACGTGGGACGTTGGAAAGATCAACCCGCAAAAGCTACCGAGTTTGAAGGGGACGATGAGCCTCCAGGCCGGAGCTTCCAAGCCTGACGAGAACCCCACCATCAACCTGCAGTTCAAAATCCAGCAGCTGGCCATTTCTGGTTCGTGGGCCTAACCTTCAGTTGCTATATTCTTTTCACTTAAATGTACGCTACAAAGCCTCTCTCCATCCAATTAGGGGGAGACAGGCTGGGATGTATCGGGAAGACCCGATACAGAGTTGAAACCTCATGTTAGTTAGAGTGGACCCATTGAGATGTATAGGGCTCACGAATCACAAAGGAAAAAAAGACCATGGATTTCGGTGGCAGCAAGCCGGTTAGTAAGTTGGAACTAGAGTAGGCACATTGAATCGGTGCAATGTAGGGAGTTCCACTGATTCAGTGGCCCCTGCTCTACTGGAGCATGGATTTACTCAAATTGGGATTAATGTTGAATTTCACCACCACCCCATCATTATTTTGTTTAAGAGATTAGAAATAACGCATGATAGGGAGCGAGGGGGCAACAACATTACTTTGAAAAATAACAACTGTGCTAATGGGGTTTTTTGGTTGGTTTGGGGAAAGCCGTACCCTTCCATACCTTCTCTTTCCACCACCCTGGCTGAACTGTTTCATAGGGATACCGACCTAGCCGTGCTTTCTCTGGATGAGCATCTCGTAGGCCAGTCATCATCCCCTCCGTTTCCCAGAGATGCTGACCTCCATTCCTGCCTCTCAACTTTTTCGCCCTCCTAGGTTTGAAGGTGAACCGCCTCGACATGTACGGCGAGAAATACAAACCGTTCAAGGGGATCAAGTACATGACCAAGGCCGGGAAGTTCCAAGTCCGGACCTAGGAGTGCCTATCCCTGAGAGAAGACTTGAGTGCACCCTCACTTCCTGCTCCATCTCTTCTCCCATCTTTCTCTGGACTGCTCCTTGCTATGAGTTCGATTGGGGCAGGTATTTTTCCTGAGCTGGGCGACAGTGGCACACCTGCCTTTGCTACCATCAGAAGTTCTCAGGTGGGCTTCAAGACCAGGAGGGAGAAAGAGTGACCTCCGTCCAGGCTTGCCAGCTGAGTCTCTACTTCACAAAGTCTCCAGTACATGCAAAGGCTGCGCACGTCTCTCTTGTGCGGCTAGCGTTTTCTTGCGTCTTTGCTGGAGCATCCACGTTTTAGAGGTTGAGGGCAGAAGGAGGAGATGTCAAGGGCAGCGGTCCTGATTACATTTCATCTTGGAACGCCCCTGATGTGTTGACCGACAACAAGAGACCTCTGCACCCCATACGGCCTTGCTAAGAGCTAGCTTATTTTTGAATCAGGGCAGAGGGTGAGCAGAGATTATAGTTTTCTTGAAGAACTGAAAGTATGAGTGAGGCACTTCTGTATATTGGGAATAAGTACATGTCAGCTGTTGCCTCCGATAAACAGGTTCGGCAGGTTGGGGGATAATGCTTTCAAAAAGCCTGCAAATCCTGTTTAGCCGAGAGAGGAAAGTGGGACAAAAGATATGAGTGCAGAGGCCTCTGGCAAGCCAGTCCATTATCATGTCATCTCTGAACAGCTGCTACCTACTTAGATTTCTTTGCCAGGCAGGCTTCATACAGAATATGTATTCAATATTTGTAAGAAGTGAGGTCTGGCTAAAGAAAGGGGTGGGGCAGGATGCTGGGCTCTTAAAGGCAGGGCAGTTTTAACTGTTAGGCTGCAGCTTCTTTCTCCTGCATGCACTCCTGAATATCCTCTCTTATGTCCTGTTGCTTCTATACAAGTAGATTGTCGCTCTGTGTGTGTGTGTGTTTATGTATGTTCTGATCTGAACTTGTACCAGTTGCCATGCTGAGGGTTTGGTTTGGTTTCCTTATTGAAACGTAGTAGATCTAAGTTGGCTTTGTTGGCATGATTGCCTTTCTTTGAAATGAAGCCAGAGAGCATGGGAACATGGAAAAGAGTCTCCTGCGTCAAAGAAGCACCGGTGGATGTGTTACGGTGTGCAAATAGCCCACACATGGTGACTTGGCAGCTTTTTAAAATGGTGGTGTAAATTGTTTTGCTTTTGCAGAACTATAGCGGGTGGAAATCAGCTGCTGTGCCACCCTTTGTTTGGAAGATGTGTATCTGTTTCTGGTCCCTAGGATGTAGAAAAGGACACTGAGCCACACCTACTGCTGCTAGTCAAGTTTTTAAGCAGACGGAATTTCCTCAACTCTGAGGATATGGGTCGTTGTCAGTAGCAAGAGAATTCAGGAATGTTGTACTCCTTTGGGGTCAGCCCTTTTTACACAGCCCTTTACACAGCTTGGAAATGTCGCCTATTTTTGAGACTACAGCTTCCCGATGGAGTCCCCAAAAGTCGCTTCCAAGGTTTGCTTTTGAATGCAGTGGACTTATTTTTCAGTAAAGCATGTTTAGACATAACCATTCTTAATGGCAATCACACCAAGTTGCCCCTCTTTACAACTTGCCTTGTGGTAAACTAACTTGTGCGTCCTAAAAGTGAAAACAAAACTACACCTCGATTTCCTCTGTTTTGGGTCTCTTTTTGTGTGCTCTAGGCAAACTGCTTGACTTTTAAAGTTAATATATCTTGTGTATAAGCAATAGTGCTTCCCATTGTTATAAACCAAGAAAAGTCACAGACAGTTTAAATGCTACTCTGAGGAGGGAAAAGGAAGTACACTGGAGACAGCATGGTTACTGGCCAGTCGGTGCTAATCATATTGGGTTTTCCCTAGAAATCTGTCAAAGATTCTCTCTGGGCTTGTCTCCATGAGGGAAAAATTGATGTGATTCTCAGGACAGCAAAGGTGCATGCATAACACTTTCCCGAAGCATAAGGTTTATATCCGTCCACCCAAATTGACTTGCAAAGCTAACCCTATTCCTTAGAGAGCATAAAGAATGTCTAGGAGTTACCGTTAATGAGTGTTTTGTTTCAGAGCACAGCTGGGCAGCGGGCAGCCCTCGAAATGTTGCTAGAACTAACAACTCCTGCCAGCCTCCCGCCACCATGGCCATGGGTGAGACGGTAGGGGTTGTCGTCTGTCAGCCTCTGGAGGGCCACAGGTTGCCCGTGACCCACTTGATGCTGCCTGACTTTGAGCCTCAGAATACTGTTCCGTTGAATAGAACAGCACTCTCTCGAGCAGTCGGTTCAATCCTGGTGCAGCCGCCGCGTGGCCTGGACAGAATCTGTTCAGCGCAAGGGGAGAGAATTCTGTCTGTGTCTGAAGATCTCAATAAAAACACTTTTAAACTTGGTCATAAGAGTTATGATGGAAAAAGCTATCAGTGCATTCTTTTGAGATGGGGGGGGGGGACCCAGAAGTGGGGTAGCTCATCCACAGGCTTTCATTTCACCCTTTCATTCCTGCAGGAGAAGACAGTCCCTGATAATCCCGGTCTATTATTTATTGGCGAATGCCATTTTGACAGTGCAATTGAACATGCATCATCTCGTGCCAGAGGCCCAGAAATGCACACAGGCATGTCAAGGAAAACAGAGACTCTGGCCCACAAGAAAATCAGCTGTTTCTAGAGGATGCAAAGGTGTACCTGCTGCTTATGCTCAGTAGGTGGGGTTGCAACCTAAGAAATAGTGATTCCCCCCCCCTCCTTAATGCTACTTTTGGATTTTCATTGTGGTGTAGTTGATAAAGTGATGGACTAAGAGTCTCAAAGGCTTTCACGGCCGAGATCTGATGGTTGTTGTGGGTTTTCCGGGTTCTTTGGCTGGGTTCTGCAGGTTGTTCTTCCTGACGTTTCACCAGTCTCTGTGGCCGGCATCTTCTGAACCCGGAAAACCCACAACCACCATGATGGACTATGACTCTGGAGAACAGGGTTCGAATCCTCACTTGGCCATATTGGGGGGGGCATGGAACTGGTAAAACCACTCCTTAAATATCTCACTTTCCTTGAAAGCCCTCTTAGGGTCGCTATAAGTCAGTTCTGAGTTGACATCACAGAACACACACCTACACAGAGCTATTCTTGCCACAAAGCTGTGATGAGCTTCTAAAAGGGCCAACCTGGGTGAACAGCGCCCCCTGGCGTTGACCTCCAGTAGGAAAGGAACGGGGGAGAAGCAAGTTATCCTTTCTACAAGCCAAAGGTGCCTCTCAGGTGGGAAGCCATCATCTGACAGGCAGCGACGTTTGGCCCCATTTGTAAAAGGGGATCTTGTTGGACTACAACACCCATCATTCCTCATCAGCAGAGAATGAGAGGTGATGGGACCTGTAGTCCAGCACATCCGAAAAATGACAAGTTGCCTATCTCTGTTTTATGAAAGAGAGGAAACCGACAGACGGGGCTCACCTTGCATGAACCAGGAGGCCCTTCGCTTGCACGGGGTGGCATGAAATGAACAGGTATACTGGGCCAGAACACCTGAAGGGGGCTTACACCTACCTAGGTTTTATTTATTTATTTCTTATTCTTTTTAATTGCATCTGCCTGAGCTCTGGCGTGCTCTTCTGTCCTGCCAGATCCTCTGGCCCATTCATCTGAAGAGCCACAGGATCCTGCAGAAAGCAGATCAAGATTCGCTGGTGAATCTCAGGAGGATTTGCAGCAGATTTCCAAGAGTTTTTGATTGGAATAAGAAAGAGTAAAAACTGCAAGGAAAAAAAAAACCTCCAGCTTGATTGGTCATCTGTTAATTGCCTGTCTCTCTGCCTCAGTGTTTCCTAATCTGTATAACAGGGATGTTGACCACGTGTTCTGGACAACGTCTTTGTTCACTTCAGCCAGAGTGGAGAGATGTGTGGGAATCCATAATAGCTGGTAAGTCAGAAGCAAATACATATAGATTTGACGGCATGGTTCATAGAGTAAAACAGGTAACTGGCTCAGTTGTCTGCAAGCTGTCACTATGCATGCATGTATGCATGTATTCCATTTTAATTGTACCTTTGATCTAAGGAGTCATTAAGCTGTGCACACTTGTTCCCTACTTCCCACCTGATCTCACAACAACCCTGTGAGGTAGGTGAGTGCCAACAGTGCAACTAGCGAAAGGTTACCCTATGAGTTCATGCCTGAGTGGAGATTTGAACCTGGGTCTCCCCAGTTCTAAGCCAATGCCTTAGCCACCATTCCCCGCTGGCTTTAATCCTGCCGTCAGCCAGTCTGTGCCAAACCACTTGATGGAAGTGTTTTTCCCTCTTGAAAACCAATACGAGTGCTTTGGTCCTGGATGCTGTCCATTTGTATCACCGTTTTACTCGCTGGCCTGGAATCTGATGTTTCTTCTGCACTTAATCCCTCTTAGCAGGCTGATCTGGCACTCTCCTACCAACAACCGCTAGCCCATGACGGATTTCATGGTGTGCTGCAACTCACTTCTTCCTGGTTGGCTTTGTGACCCTACTTTTGACCTTGGCCTTCCGAGAGTTGGCGTTTGTCAGACCCCGCCCGGGACTTGAACTTGCAACCTGCAGATGTACATCTCGAGGCGGCTGTCAAAGAGAAGAGCAGCAGCGCTCTCTCCACGCCCCAGGAAGCCTCCAGCTTAGTCTGACTATAGATCTGTGGCCGCAAAACTGGGATGGGCGGGTGTGTTTCCAGATGTTCATGGATTACACATCTCAATGCTCTCACCAGCACACCCAATAGTCTGGGGCGCCTCGTCATCAGCTTTAAATAAAATCCTAGTCTGAAGCTGAAAACAGACACAAGCAGACGGGCCCCCTTGGAGGCAGGAGAGGCCCTCCATTCTCAGCCCCTGAAAAGTTTGGGCCCTTCCTGACCCCACTTTCAGCTTTGGGCATCCTCCTCCAACGAGGCATCCTCTAGACAGGTTTGGGTTCAAATGCTCCACACTCCCTAGCTGACTAAGGAGCATGGGAGCTATAGTTCCACCCATGTAACCCAGGAGAGCTCCTTTAGATTGGGGCAGGAAGATGCAGGGTTAACGCTGGGAGGAGAGGAAGGAATGGCTTACTCAAAAAACAAAAAACAAAACAAAACCAAAAAACTACAATCCACCGTGCTTTGGTCTACAGCTTTTCTATGCGTTTCCATTTTGATTTGGCTGTTGTTTTGTTCCAGAGAGCTAGCCTTGTTTGTCTGTTTCAGGTATAACAAAGACACGGCCACGCTGCAGCCACTGTGCCCTTAAATTTGAATCCAAGCCCTCCTCCAAAATCGCTGGCCCCTTTTTTGTCGGTTAACAAATTCCTCACCGTCGAAAATGCAAAACACACCCATGGATTCGAAGAGAAGGTCCGGTCCATGTGTCTCGTTTAATACACTCAATACAAAGTTACAGCCTTGCTTTTCCGAGCAGCATCGACAAAAGACGTCTCCGTAATTCAAACGTACATCAGGAAATCGGAGCATGCTTTTTGTCTTCAAGAAATAATGTCAAATGCCCACACAGTAGAAAAATAATATTCTTAAAAAGTTTTACGAAAAAAGATGAAAGTAACAAAACAGCTGGCTGGTAGGAGCGAATCTTAAACGGCAGCTTGGCCGAAGTGTGTTTCTGGGGCTGGAGTTTGGTTACTACTTTAAAACAAAATCAGAATCACTTTCCCGGCCAAGGGAGCCACTTTTTGTCCCAAAGGGTCACCCGTGGGTCTCTCTTTTTTTCCCCCTCCTTGCTTTGTACATGCATGGTCTAAAGAGGGAGGAGCTCCATTACGTTTCAAGAAACCCAAAACCAGCAAACGCTCCCCTCCCCTCCCAAAAAAAGCTGGATCTGCCATTTATTACTGTGCACCAGGCACATGAAAAGGTAAGAGACAAAGTGAGAGAATTCCCCCTTTACTGTCTCTCTTCCCCCACATTTCAAAAGCCTTTACAGCAATGGTCCCCAGCCTTGGGTCCCCAGATGTTCCTGGACAAAAACTCCCAGAAGCCTTCATCCCTCGCCATGCTGGCCATGATTTCTGGGAGTTGTAGTCCAAGAATATCCACGGACCCAAAGTTGGGAACCACTGCTTTATAGCAATAGAAGGGATTTAGCAGGAGCAATTCCAAACAATTGCTGTTCACACCCATGAAACTTGACTGCCCCATGTCTTTGTGCACCCTCTAACGGACCCACTTTTAAAATAAAATTTAATGCACAGATGTCCAACTTTCAGTGCTTTGGGGGAATTCGCTGACAATGCAAGCCTGTGTTGGTTTACTCAGAAATCAGCTCTGTTCAGTTCAGTGGGACTCCCTTGCTAGAGAGCACATCCCTCCTCCTTCCCAAGAGGAGTTTCGGATGCACAAGCTCCATGACAGAGGACGGGTCCTGCATGAACCGCAACTCAAGACAACTCAATTGCTTCAAGAGAGGAGAGAAATGTACAGAGCTTAGGAAAGCATCTTTTTTTGCACTATGTCTCCCAGGGGCCACCATGGCGAAAGGGAGAGAATATGGGAACTGTAGTCCAAAGCAAGGCACTTTGCCAAGTGCATCGTTCCTGGAATGCCAGCCTACATCCCTGGGGTCAGCTTCTCACGTCCGCACCAATGGTGTCTCCCTGATGCAAGGAGACCCTGGAGTGAAGAACGAGGAGGAAGCATCCGGTGGGTGCCTTATGAAGCCATGTTCTCCTGGATCCATTCCAAGTAGTGAACCACCTTTGTGTAAACGCCCGGGGTGTCCTTTTTTCCGCAGCCCACCCCCCAGCTGATGATCCCGACGAGAGTCATGTGGCCGTCTTTCAGGCAGACCAGAGGCCCTCCGGAATCGCCCTGCAGCAGCGAAGGAACGAAAAGCAAAGGATAAGAGGAGTGGCTCTCATGCATATCCCACCGGGATCCAGGGCTTCATGTTCTGAGCAAGATGAGACCTAGATATTTTGGCACCAAAATAGGTTAAAAAGCATTGTCAAAACCAACAAAACTTCACTGTGAAATGGAGTGTGGTTTGGATGGGACCTCCGGGATTATCAACGCATCACTGCAATGCTGATCCGAACTAGATGCTGCTCGGCCCCTTTGAAACGTAAATGCTTTATCGCAAACCCAGTCAATAGACTGGAAATCTTAGTTTACTGGATTGCACCTCCCAGAATCATAGATGAATTGAATTGGAAGGGGCCTCTAAGGCCATCCAGTCCAACCCCCTGTTCGATGCAGGAATCCAAGTCAAAGCAGATCTGGCAGAGCGTTGCGTAAGTTTCTCTTGAAGGCCTCCTGCGCTGGAGCCCAAGAAGCTAGTTTTGAAAAAAAGCATGTACACAAGTAAACACATACTCCCTCTCTCTCCCTCTCTTGCGTGCACACACACAGAGCCTAAAACAGGTGGGAGGAGCAGCAAAAACCTTCCCCCCGCAACAGATAAACTGTTGACAGAAAGGGAACAACACGAAGGTGTATGTGCAGGAACTGCTCTGGTTGAGAAATTCAAGATTAATTTTTAAAAACATTTGGAGGCAAAGCTTTAATTCTGACCTAAAGCAGCTGGAGAGCTTGCACTGTGTGGTGAAAGAGTTAGGCAAAATCTTGAAATTATCAATAACTAAAAAACGACAGCAACTAAGAGCTTAATGGAACCCCCAAATGCCAAGGCAGTGTATCTGCAAATACCAGATCCTGGAAATGTGCAACAGGGAAGCATCTTATCGTTACGCCTGGTTTCTGAGCTCCCAAAAGGCAGCTGACCAGCCGTCATCGACAGCAAGATGCTAAGCTTTGCCTCTGATCTGAAAAAGGAATTCCGTGACATCTCAAGAACCGAGTTTACCTTGCAGGCATCATCAATCTGCCTGGTGTCCCCTGCGCACAACATGTTCTTGGTGACAGTCCTGTTTGCAAGCCGGGCCGGTGTGCACTGACTCTCTGGATACAGCCTCACTTGTCCTTCCTTCAGACGTTCAGAATAAAATGGAGAAACTGTGAATAGAACGGGAAAGTGGGTGATGAGAGATGGGTAGGCAGGTGGACACCTGAAGTTGAGAACCTCAGCTGTGGCTTTTTCTTCTTCTTCTTCCATTTTCTCCTTTTAAAGAGCATGTCCCTAGTCCTCAAGATTATAAAGATTTGAAAGTAGAAGGGTAAAGCCTATGGGGGAAAAAGTATGCTCTTGCCCACAGAAAGCTAGAGGTCGGGAAACAGCTACAATTTCTGAGTACAGAACACTTTGTAAAAACAGATAGGTATTCCATCATGCCATCCCTGCCCTCTGCAGTGATGTAGCCCAGATGGCCACCTCAATGAGAACTAGTCTCCTGAGCTGTCCACTCATCAGAATATCTTTGTTTTGTTTTGAGAACTATGGCCCAGAGATGGGAGTGGGAGGGGGCGCTTTGAGGCTCTGGCTTGCTTTAATGAAAGCCAGATGCTTTTCGGTAAACACAGCCCAGTCATCTGGATCAGTTAGTAATCGGAGAGGAATCCAGCTTACAGACCTTTCTTCCTGCTTGAAACTCAGGAGGAAAAAAAGATGTTTGTGTAGCAAGTGAGCATCGCCCAAGGACACTTCTCCAACTGCAGGCCATTTCCACTCGGACTCACCTCGGCCTCAGCACCAACAAAAGCCGTTCCCGAAATTGAGCACCCCCCCTGTCCTGCAGCAACCAGATCAGGCCTGCTAGAAGGCAAGGAGAAGGGGGCATCCATCTGAGGAAGACACTGTCACACCCAGGATGTTCTCTCTCACACACACATGAACACCCCCGCCCAAGTTTTCCTGCTTAAACCACAGAACTGAGCTATGCCTGGAGATTCCAGGGCTTAGCAGGCAGCAAAAAAAAAAACCCTCTTAGCACCAGGATACCTGGCAGCCAAAGGCAAGAGTCCAGGGTACCTGAGAGACTGTCTCCTATATCATGCAGGTCTGGCCACAATGTATTTTGGTGGTCCTGTTGGCTCTTTTATTTTTCAAAACATGTTATAAAGGTGTATCTGTGTGTGTATTTGTCTGGTGAAGACGGCAGATGCTTCTCAGCACATCAAGTGGAGTCACACAAACACACATACTGATCAACACCTTCCCTGCGTGAATGACACAAATTACCTATTTTTAGATATAAAAATAGATATAAATAGATATAAAAATCTGTAGAGTATAGGTTTAAAAAACCTATACTCTACAGATGCTTGTTGATGTTCCTTATAAGCTGTATTATGGAAGGATCCGTATCCTGAAAGCTGAGGTGCAATCAACAGTAATTGATACTTGTTCTTAATCTTTTGTTCTTTTCTGGACTGTTTCCCTACTCGTGGTGCTAACTCTAAAGACATGGACGAGGGGCGATTTTCTCCGATTTTACGGAGCCCAAGTTGTTTTCCAACCCACCCATGAAGACATTTCTGGATGTTGACGAATTCTTAAACTGAAACAAAATTCTTTCACCTCACCCACCCACCCTCCACTTTGCACAAACCAAATTCAACAGGTAAAATGCTAAAACTGTTTCCAGCATAGAAAGGACGACGAGGTCCCTGCATGCCGTATACCTGTTAAAGAAAAGGAGCCTCTTAGGAAAAAGGACGTGGCCACACTTAAGAGCAAAGCCTCCCAGACAGATCTGATTCTCTCACAGCTGTTATTTTTAATTCCTTTGGGGGTTTTTTTTTATCCTAAATATGAAGGAATCTCTGGATGTGGGTAAATTCTAATTTTAAAAAGAGACGATCTCTTTCCCAGATACTCATCACTGATTTGAGGCCCTTGTGGCTCTAAATATCTTAATAAACTCAGGCCAAAGCTGGGGTGAGAGAGAGAGGAGCATGCTTACACTCCTCATGCTTGCCGTAGCCGGACACTTGACATTCTGTCCAGTCCGGCATCTCCAGCCCCGGATCTGGGAGGCAGGCGGGACGAACCGAGTCCGTTTCTACTGCGCACTCGTCCGACACAGACTTCAGCTTTAGGAGAGCTGGAAAAAATCGGGGGGGGAGGGACACAAAAGGGAAATCAGAGAGCTGTGAGGACAGAGGGGGCCACCTAGAAGTGGCTCACCCAAGGCCACAAGCGGGGAGGAGAAGACCTACCAATGTCGTTGTCAAAGGTTTTCCCATCAAAGTTTTTATGCAAGGTGTATTTCTCCACCTGGAACAGCTGCTCGGTCTCCTCCCGAGTCACCCGGGAAGTCCTGCCCAGCACCACTTTGAGGCGACTGGGACGAGGCCTGCGGAAGAGAAAATGTGGGGTGACCTTTCCCTTTTTTGAGTACAACTTTTTTCTTTTTAAAAAAATAAGCCTCTGGACTGAAACGACCACAAGGCAACGTCCAGGGAGGCAGTGGGTGGCATTCACTCTCCTGAGTCCACCATCCGCTATTCAAAAAATAATGATTTTAAGAAAATACGGAGTGTATTCTTGGAAGATATATTCCGGAGAGGGAAGGGCTATACATCGAGGGAAGAAACAATGACGTTTTGGAGAGAAAATGGACTGAATGAAATCTAAAATATTATTAATGCTAGCCCTGAGGGTGAGGGTGGCACTGGTATATTATGCAATTGCATTTTATTGTGGTGTTGGTTTTATGTTGTTTAAGTCGGAGGNTTTTATTGTGGTGTTAGGTTTATGTTGTTTAGGTCGGAGGTTTGTTTAATAATTTTTTTTAAAGCCCAGGTATAAACAAGGCTTCAGAGGTGTTAGGTTTATGTTGTTTAGGTCGGAGGTTTGTTTAATAATTTTTTTTAAAGCCCAGGTATAAACAAGGCTTCAGAATTGTTTAATAAATTTATTTTTTAAAAAAAGCCCAGGTATAAACAAGGCTTCAGCGTAAGTCCAGCACAAGCCATGCAGGCAGGGAGTTCAAGGAATTATGTCCTTAAAAAGTAACTCTTCCATGTTCTGATTCCAGACTTCACCCACCCTGCCCGACTGTTCCTGTCCAAGCTAGGGGACGGGGCGCCTACCTCTCATTTACTTGGAAAGAAAACAATATCTATACAATTGCTCACTGCATAAACGGGGTCCCATCTAGCCAAAAAGAGCCTCCATTTCCAAAGGACATCCTGGGGAGGCAGGAAATCCAGCAGACAAATGAAGGGCTGGCGTCTTACCTGTCTTCGAAACAATGAGCAGCAGAGAGGACCCAGCAGGAACCGATCAGGATCCCACCACAGACGAAGCCTTCCGAACGAGGGTATTTGGCGAATATGGCGGCCTGCCAAGGGTGGGACTGGATATACGAATAAAGGCCTCCTTTGATCCGGAAATGGGCCACCCTGTGCTTCCTCAGCCCACAGGTGGCTGGCAGCGGGTCGTGTGGGAGAGGAGAGGAGAAAAGAGAGAAATAAAGCATTGGGCCCTGGCTGTAATCAGTGGCGCCCGCAGCAGCTCTAAGGGGCAGGGACCCTGAGCCACGATGCTCTCCAAGGACCCAGACTTTCTCCCTCACCATCGTCCTCCTTCCACCTCTCCCCCCGCCTGCTTCAATCCTCAAGACTGAGGGAAAATGCAAGCAATCAGAGACAAATCATGCCACCTCTGAGAAAGATTCTTCAGAGCCCCCTCCCCACTTTGGGGTCCCCAGGATTCTTATGGATGGGGCAGGATGCTGGGTTTGCATAGAGGAGCTCTCAAGGTTCGTAAGGGAGGCCTGTCCATGAACCCCCTCAAGGCTTCCCAGCGGCCACTGTGAAGCAACCTACAAACCTGCTTTCCACTAAATCAGGCCGTTGGACCATCTAGCCTAATACTCCCATCTCAGGCTGGCAGCCCTAGCTTCCTAGACAGGGTTCTCTCCGAGCCCTACAGGGATAAACCAGGGATTGAACCCTGGGCTTTCTGCACACGAGGCAGACGCTCTACTGAGGAGCCACGGCCAGAAGGGACTGGGCAGTCACCATGAAGTATTTGTGGCCCCAGGCAGGAGGACCCAGGAGGTGTGACTTACAACAGGTTGGGACATCGCAGTATTCCCATTTTGGCTGGCCACCTTTGAGGACGTGGCACCACGGCCGGGTGTCGTTGTCAGGATTTCTACAGGACACAAGGAGGAGAGGATTATTTCAGAAGCTGGACTTCTCACATAGGGGAAGTACTCAAGTTCTCCAGAGGCTGTGAAACTCCAGAGTGGCCTGGGATAAATGACCAGAGGCTGCACTGCAGAATACGATACTGCTTATCTATGTCTAAAATAGCCTTCAGAGGGATGTGGTGGTGCTGCGGGTTAAACCACAGAAGCCTCTGTGCTGCAAGGTCCGAAGACCTGCAGTCGTAAGATCGAATCCATGCAATGGAAGGAGCCCCCGTCGCTTGTCCCAGCTCCTGCTAACCTAGCGGTTCGAAAGCATGCAAAATGCAAAAATGCGAGTAGATAAATAGGTCCCACCTCAGTGGGAAGGTAAATGGTGTTCCGGGTCTAGTCATGCTGGCCACGTGACCACAGAGGATTGTCTGCGGACAAACGCTAGCTCTATGGGTTGGAAATGGAGATGAGCACCGCCGCCTAGAGTCGGACATGACTGGACAAAATCGTCAAGGGGAACCTTTACCTTTACCTTTAAAATAGCCTTCCCTAAACCCTGGCACACTTGAGATGTGTTGAACTACAGCCCCCATGATCCCCCAGCAAGTCCAGGCTGAGCTAAAACATAGTACATCACACTGAAAACAATTGCATGGGTTTTAGGAGCCTCCAAAAAACCCTGTCTTCTTGCAGTTTCTTCTCATATTCGCCAGCAACGGATGTTTTGTTATGCAAAAATCTCACCCTGTGGATGCTTCTGCAATCCGTATTCAAATTTCTCCCCTATCCATGTCCTCTGGCCAGGCTTGTCTGGCGTTTATGGGACGTGAAACTCAAAACACAGGAGGGGCAAAGGCAGAGAACCATGGCGGTGGAGAGCCATTCCGGTCCAGGTGGACCAAACGTCTGTCTCAGGAGATGTTCAAAAAGGTAACGTGTCCCATCTGATCTCCCAGCCATAGTGGGCGTGCTGTCTGGTTACGTCTGGATCCATCTGCATCGCTTCCGGAGCTGTCCCAGGGAAGGCAAGCAACCTCCAGGAGAGGTTACTTCTGTGATCGTACAAACAAGTTGTTGTTGTGTTAAATGGGGGGGGGAAAGGGTCTCCGGAAGAGAAACCAAGCACTCTGCTCACCGGCAGTGGTTGTGACTCCCCAGGCCCAGCTGCTGAGCATCCGTCCTCACGGCAGTGTAGACTTTGCCGGAAATCAGGTGGGAATCCCATCTCAGGCAAGTGGCTCCAGAACTCGTGCGGCTCTCGCTCCCTCGGTAGTCGGCACCCCTTCCGGAATAACAGGTGTGCTGCTCTGTGGCAAGGCGGGGGGGAAAGGGGGGCACGTTTAATCCAGAAAGAGCTGCTCCCGTGTCATGTCCGTGGGGT